GAAGGAAGGATGGTAGGAAGGAAGGATGGTAGGAAGGAAGGATGGTAGGAAGGAAGGATGCTAGGTAGTTAGGAAGAAAGGATGGTAGGAAGGAAGGAAGGAAGGATGGTAGGAAGGAAGGATGCTAGGTAGTTAGGAAGGAAGGTAGGAAGGAAGGAAGGATGGTAGGAAGGAAGGAAGGAAGGATGGTAGGAAGGAAGGATGTTAGGTAGGTAGGTAGGAAAGAAGGAAGGAAGGAAGTAAGGAAGGTAGGACGGAAGGTAGGAAGGATGGAAGTAAGGTAGAAAGGTAGGAAGGAAGGAAGGTAGGTAGGAAGGAAAGAAAAGATAAACAAATGTAAATTCAAATAAAACGATAGCAAAAGCAAGGAAAATGAATGTCATGAGGAGAGAAACAAGTAAAGAAGCAAGGAATTTAGAAGATATAAAAGCGAAGAAGGAAAAAGCAAACAAAAGCGTGATAATAAAACAAGGAAAGCGATAAAGACAAAATGAGATAGAAAGGAAGGAAAGAATGAGTGGCTAAGCAAAAAAAAAGAGCGGGAAAACAAAAAGAACGATATTAGGGAGAAAGAAAAAGTGGTAGAAACAGTAGAAGAGAATGAGAGGGATCTAGGAAGAGAAGGAGAGACAAAAATTAAAAGAGGAAAAGGAAATAGTAAGTGAGTCGACAGCAAGAGAAGCACGAGAAACAAAAAAAGAGGAAGGAAGGTAAGAAGGAAGGAAGGAAGGGAGGAAGAAACGACAAAGAGGGAGGCAAAAAGAGAACGAAAAAGAAGTATAATAAAACGTAGTATGAAGCAAAGAAAATGTAAGAGATAAAACGAGAAAGGGAAGGAAAGGAAGGAAAAAGGAAGGAAAAAGGAAGGAAATAAGATCAAATTATTGGAGTGAATTTCACGAGGGTGAGTCAATAATTATCGACACTTTTTAAATAACATATATTTAAGTATGTCACATTGCTCATGAATGCTTATAATTGTTACTATTGTGGTCACGTGATCGAAATTTGAGTTTGATCGTGTAACCTTTCTTGATGCTGTTACAGTGAAAACATGACCGCTCCGCTGGCAGTAGGAGGAATAAAAAGTAGTGATACGAATCCGTAGAGAACAAGCTAGCTCATCGGTGATAACTAGCCGGTTTGCCATTACCATATCACCAGCTTGCTGAATCTTCACGTCACTAGTGGAGGTTGACGGGCGCTCTTCCTTTCCTTCTTCGTGTGAGATTATTGTCCGGCCACTTTTAAACATTCTTGCCCACACATACGCGGTAGAGCATTGTCGCCGTATTGTGTTAAAAGCCTCCGCTGAATTTCAGATCTTCCGATCAGAAAAATTGGATCACTACCCTTTCTTCTTCGTTGGTGCACACTGCTAATAGAGCGGCCATGTCTACACTGTAACAGCAGCAAGAAAACTGGCGCAAACTTCGGTCACATGACCTCAATAATATCAACTGTAAGCACGCATAAGCAGAAGGCAGTGTGAGAAGCCTAAAGATATGTTATGGCGAAAGAGCTAATAATTTTTTTATTTATCCTCATAGAAGTAAATCTATACTTGGTTGCTGGATTAAATAAGAATAACTATTTGTAATATGTCCAGTAGAGTAAATTAAATATGGTTGTTGTTGGTGGGGAATATAAGAGAGTTTCTGGAGTGTATTTTACAAGTAAGTGAATATGGTGGTAGGTTTGAATGGGAATTAAATGGATAAATTGATGCGAAAAAAAAAAAATTAATTGCAATAAAATTAAATAGTAATTGGAATTGTCCGAATTTGAAACCATTACAAGATTTTCCAAATCCTTCTGCTATACCCGATTTTTGCAAGAACCAAATCAGATCAAAAATGGAGTATTGCAATCCACATCTGGGATGGAGCTGCCCAATTTTCAGCCTTGAACGAGTTTTGCGTAGTGTTGTGTGGAGTGATTTCCTTTTCATCCCCCACTTCTCACAGATAAAACGTTTCTAGCTTCCCGTTATTTTATTGCTATTTACATGTTCAGAGGAACTACATTCCTTGGTCTCACCAGTCCAGACTTCACAGCTAAGGCTCACCAGGCTACGTACACAAAGTCGACTCATTCTCATGCCCTTCACATTCCATTGGTAATGAAGATGTTCTACTCAGGCAGCTTTTTACCCTCAAACTCTTGCATTCTAAAAAGGACGGCCGAGAAAATATTTTCTCGAACACTACGATCTTAGCCTCTTCAAGTTTACGGTCAACCCTAATCTCTTCTACATATGTTCATAAAAAGCACCCCATTGCTCCATCCTTGTAAGCACTTACAACAATCTTAGTAACACTCTATCTTGAGTGGCTCTTGGTCCTTAATAACAAAAAAGCGCATTTATGAAATTATGGTCGGGTAAAGCAAGGAAAACACAACACTTTGCTTCATTCGTCGAGAAAAAAAGAAATCTTGGACTGAATCAAATGCTTCTTCTAGGACCAACCTTGACCACAATTCAGGAATTGTATAAAATTTTAATTCTGCTTTAATTATATATGAAGTCAAAAATTCAGCCCAACTCTTTATTTTTCACCATTTCACCAAAAACAAAACAATAAAGTTACCAAGAAACAAAGGGTTACTGAATATGAAAGAATATGAGAAAATTTTTTCTTCTTATGTTGTGTCCTCTCAAGACGTAGGCGATCATGGCTTTCCACAACTTCCTGTGATTTGTAGCTATTATTAAATTTTGTCTTTTTGTTATTTCTCCCAAATCATGTTCTGCCATCCATTTACGCAAGCTTCCTAAGTATGTCATGCGTTGTTTTCCTCTGTCCCTTTTACCTTCAATAACTCCTGTGAGTATCATATTCTCCAAGCCCACCTTCCTCATTACCTGCCCCAGAAACCTCAACTGATGTTAAGTATAAGTTTCGTTTTTATTTCCATTTTCTCTAAAACTTCGTCGTTGCTCACATGTTCAGTTCATGGTATCCTCAGCATCCTTCTGTAGAATTACATTTCTGTTGCTTCCCGTTTCTTCTTCATCTTTGAGGAGATTGTAGAGCACTCAGTGCCATACAGGAGCACAGATATATCACGTAACAATTTAGTGCCTTTTCCCTTGTTTCTAGCGAAGTGTTATTTTTTTGTTTTTTGCTTTTTTATTTCGTAGAACTTTGCTTAGATTTAGGAATACAGATTTGGTTATCTTAATACACCTTCGGATTTCAGTGTTGCAATTTTCGTCCTCTGTTAAAACAGATAATTATTTTTTTTCAAGGCGAGAGAACAATAAAAACAGAAGAATTAATAAGACAAAAGACAACGTTGGACGTTGCATTTACATTTTTGAAGATCAAAGTTGACTTGAAAGTGAGTGGCCGCGAGCGTGTTTCACAAGCGAGAAGTGCAAGAAAAGAAACTATTAGCAGATAACTTGCGGTTACATCTAACCATATCGACGGTAAGAGGATGAGACCTTGCTGCCAATCTAGTAGTGCGCTTAAATTCGTAATGTCAAGTTAGCAAAGAGGAAAACTCATCAGAACAATTATCATGACAATATTTATATAAAAGTCCCAGGAAAACTACGTTATGGCAGTGTGAAAGTGTTTGAAACCGAGATGCCATTTCAGGACTGATAACATTGCAGGTTCTTTTTTGAATTTTATTATGAATCGCTAAATACATAGCAGAAGCAGTAAACCAGATATGACAGCAACATTTGATGCATGGACGAATGATATACTTTCTTATAAGATGAGATTCTGTCGAGAAAAATTACCTTGCGCGACACAGTGAACCAACTTAACAGAAGAACTAGCAGTCGATTCAATATAATCATTATGTCAGCGGGAAACATTAGCCCGAGCAGAGGTACAAAGAGTCAGTCTCCTAAAAGTTAGCATAAGTTATTGGGTTTGTGACTGGAGGATGAAGCTATTGAAAACCTTCCTTTGGCTCTGTTACTACACAAATTAACTTGTAACCTGATCCGTGGGAGAAATGTATTCCCACAAATACAATGACTCAACATGGTTGTAGCCAGATAGCCTCAGAGTCGATTTGTTCAGACATGATGTATTCAAGCCGTCAAGCAGCAGCGTAGTTAACACTACCACTGCATTTTTGACGCTTTTACCCATTTGTAATTTTAGCTAAAACTCGAACTAATTTCCGTGCTGATATCAATTAAATAATTCGAAATCATCAGTAATCCGCCCTGAGACTAGCTATATCACGTCGAAATGATTTTACTTAAACTTAGCTTCGTACGTTACAAGGCAGACGACGTGTGACGAACATTCTAAATTAGAAATAATTTGAGAAACTAGAGACACCAACATGAGTTTAGCTGTAAAATGCGTCTAGAAGTATATACAGATAGATAATATGAAGACCCACCCCCAACGCCTCAACTTAATAGAAAATGTTTCCTAGACATGTACAAACGTACAGAAACAAGGGCGTGGATCAATCCTATTAGCAATATATGTAAAGACATTAATTGATAAATGCTCAGATAAGATGAATGCGATTCTAATCCAGTATCTGGAATTTTCCCTAGATTAGCAGCGCCCGGTGTGAATGACTCCAGTCGAACGAAAGAGATAATTTTCGATTAAGAAGCAAAGTTATAGTGGAATCAATATGAAGTCAAAACCACCCGAAAAAAAATAATGCAATGATATAGGGAAGATTGAAAAAGGAAAAGAAGAAAGAAAAAAGAAGACTGGTGATTAATAAAATAAGATGCGATTACCAATTGAAGTCAAAAGAAGTAAAAAGATTGGCGGGAAAGAAAAGAAAAATAAGGAAGAAGCAGACAAACACACACATATGATTAGATACACACATACATATACACACACAAAAAAGAAGCGAATAATCAAGAAAATTAAACGCGTTTAGGTAAAAGAATGTAGAAGGAAAGAAAGCCAGAAAAAGAAAAAAAAATGAAATGAGAGAAAATAAATAAATAAACACATAAAAAGAAAGAAAGAAAGAAAAAAAGAAAGAATGACAAATTAGACAAGAAAGAAACACGGGGGATAAAACGAAAGAGAAGATAAAAAGAAAAGAAAGGAAAAAAAAAGCATAAAAATGAAAGAAATGAGAGAATAATAAATAAATAAAAAAGAAAGAAAAAATAAATACTGAAGGAGACAGAGAAAAAAGAAAGAGGACAAAAAGGAAGAGAGAAAAATGAAACAAATTATTATAGACGAAAATAATAAAAAAGAAAGAAAAAACTGAACAAGATTTTTAAAAAAGGGAGGAAAAAAGAAAAATGAAATTAAGAATAAGAAGAGAATGAGTGATGGAAGCAAAGAAAGAAAAAGAAAGAAGGGAATAGCAAAGAATGAAAACGAAAAAAAAATATCGAGAGATGATATGAAGGAAAGTTCAAGATATAGAAATCGAAAAAAAAAAACAAAACATGAATGCATAAAGCAATGAAGTTGCAGCAATAAAATTCTTAAATCGTTAAACAAATATTTCAAAGCATGAAAATGAGTCACAGAAAGATAGTGAAGGCGAGCAGGGGAAAGAGAAGGAAGAAGAAAAAAAGAATTCAGAGAAAAGATGAAAGAAAAGTAATTTAAGAGAGAAACTATGAAAGGAAAAATATAAATGGAGAGCAGAAAGAAAGATAAAAGCCAGAATTGATGAAAGATTACATGCACGCACGCACGCACGCACGCACGCACGCACACACACACACACACACACACACACATATATATATATATATATATATATATATATAATTATTTATTTAAAAATATGATTCCAAATCGCTACACAAGAGGTCTCATTATTTAAATTAATTTAAAGGATTATATTGAAGTTTTCGGCTCTTGTTTTGAAACATGAGACCTCTTATGTAGCGATTTGGAATCATATTTTTAAATAAATAATTATATCTATGCTCTACTTTTGTATTGAGCACTATTTTTTAAAAATAATAACTAAAATACTAAAGGGACTTTGGATTATTTACCTAACCGGTTCCTTCCTATTTTCTATATATTTTCATATATATATATATATATATATATATATATATATATATATATATATATATAATTGTGTATGTTGAAAATGATGCTCTACTCCACAAAATTCTCTTGCTTGTATGTAGAATTGCTGAGGAAAAGGAAGGTGAAAGAGAAAGAAGAAGAATGGACAAAAGCAGAGATAGGGGTGGTAAGAAATATAAATCATAAGGAATGAGTGAGAAAGAAAGAGGTAAGAGATAAGCGTGTGAAAAAAGAAAAATATAGAAAAAAAGAAAGAAAGAAAGAAGAGATGTGTGAAAGAAAAAGATAAAGAGTGAAAAGACGGAAAGATAAGATATGAGTGAGAAAGAAAGAGACTAGAGAAAAGTGACGAAGAAATAGATAAAGAAAGAGAATGAAAAAGATAAGATATAAGAGTAAGAAAGAGAGAGAGAGATATAAGTGAGAAAGAGATAAAGAGTGAGAAAGGAAAAAAATGAGAGGGAGAAAGAAAGAATATAAGCTATAATAAGAATCATTGATGGGAATTGATAAAAAAAGAACGAACTGATGAACGAATGAATCAGCAAAGAAAGAAAGAAAGAAAAAAGAAAGAAAGAAAGAAAGAAAGAAGGAAGGAAGGAAGGAAAGAAAGAGAAATAAAGTGAAAGAAGAAAAGAAAAAGAAAGACAGAAAAAAGTGAAAGAGAAATAAGACGAAAAGAATGTGTAGGCGGACTAGAGGATCGAAAGTCCAGGATGAAAAATGCAAATATTAAAAAAGTCGGAAGGAAAAAAAAAGGAAGAAAATATTGGAGGAAAGAAAAGAATAAAAGGAAATAAGAAAAGAAGAAGGAAAAAGAATAAATAGAAACTGAAAGAAAGAAAACAGGGAATTGAAAGAAGAATATTTCTTAAATCGCTGAAAATAGTGACATAAAAGAAAATCCATTAATAAAAAGAAGAAATTAAAGGGGAAATGATAGAAAGAAAGAATTAAGAAATGACACAAGGAACCATTAAAAGAAACGAAAACAAAATATAGGAAAAGTGAATCTACAATGTAAGGAGCAGCAAAACTTGTGCTAGAAAAAGAAAAGAAAAAAAAGACAAGATGAAACCCAAAGTGAATCAGGTACATTGATCTCAACGTGTGGAAATTAACTCCCTTGGCAACAAACAAAACAAAAAATGAACAAGCATGATAAAATATAAAGCTTTGGCGCGCTGACCGGCTAAGGCGATATGATCCTCTGTTTTTCCTCGCAGAAAACCAGGGTCTTAAGCGGCGTTCGTATTGCTGGGGCATACTGAGATATGTCCTGAGCACGAAAAAGCGATCACAGTTTTACGTGACTTGTTCTTAGTCGCCACCGGACCGAGTCTGAATTCTTAGGAGGAGATTTGTGCTCAATCATGAAGCGAATTAAAGTCAGGGAGGGTTGTCGGTTTGAGAGAAGGGTGTGGTCAGCATTCCGAGACGGCTTGAAAGATTTTCCATGAGAAGCATCTTTCAAGAAGATGGCATTTCATGGAATTGGTGGAAACTGCAGTTGGTGGTGATTTTGTCGCTGAAACTTTAAATTTAAAAAGTTTTCGCAATTACCGTCTGTACGTAGATACATCAAAAAGTCTGCAACCTCAATTTTATTTTCCAAGTGTATAGACAAAGTCCCACTTTATTTTTACTATTATTCACTCAAGAGCCACTCAAGGTAGATCTTGAAGAATTCCATAAAAGTAGATAGTAAAATGTTCATATTATGAGTATAGGTAGGATAGATAACGATTGACCATTGACTTGGTGAGGTTAAGATCGAAGTGATTGGGAGAAGCATCCTTTGTTCCACAATGCAATCATTCTGGGGAAAAATTATCCGAGTTGAATCCTTTAATTAGTCCACGAGGGTAGAGTGTTCTAGTTCCAGGTGCCATGCCTTTTTGGAGATCTCAGTTTCAGTTAATTCCCTTTAGTAACTCAACCCTACAAGTTTTTGTTCCCTCTGATGTGGACAGGTATTTAACGATGTAAGTAGTGTACAATAGTTACAAAATTCATATATATATATATATATATATATATATATATATATATATATATATATATATATATATAGGTGCGATGGATGAATTGTCTAAATTACGAAAAAATTAAACTGACACTGACATCTCATTTTAACAGAAATATTTACCAAAATTACGCATAAATATCATTAAATACTAAAGGTTAAATTTATTCAATAAAATCGTCATTGGCTTCAACCACGGCCTCCAGACGACTTCGGAATCTCATGCATCTCTTCTGGACGGTTTCCTTGTTTACGTTGGCGAATGCTGCCATAATCCTTGTCTTCAGTTTATGTTTACTGTTACAAGGAGTTTTGTTGGTTTCTCGCTCAACTGTGCCCCACACATAATAACCAAGGGGGTTGCTGTCTGGGGAAATTAGGTGGCCAGATGTAAAGGGTTGATGGGGTCGTAGAAATTGTCTGACTGCCATGACTTGGTTCTCCTGCTTGTGTGGCATAGTGCAGAATTCTGAATGAATGGGGGGAATAAAGTTGCCATACTAATGAACACTCCAAACACCTTCATAATCACCATTAGACTCATCCAACTCTTTCCGAATCCACTGCACTGTCGCCAGATTGACTCCAAAATTCTCTGAAATGTTCGTATTGGAGCTTCAGGTGCGAATGTCACGAAGTACAGCATGCTTTTACCAAATTTCTGGCGGAGTGAATTGCATCGTGGTACTCTTTTTTCTCACAGACGGTGCCCAACTGACCGTACTGTGCAGTTGACATAATAAAAAAAAAACAATCAACGCGCATGCGCGAAATTAAAAATAGAAAATAGCGACAATTTATCAATCGCGACCTGTATAAAAATAATTCAGTTCGAGTTTCTACCGCAATTACTTATAATATTGTTTTAATTATGTATTTTTACACACCTGTATTATCTTTCGGATTACCAGAGAATAAAGTGGCAGCAAATCTGTTTAATTTTCCCGAACTCTCCTGATTATTCCTTTATTAAGATATGGATTTTCCCATTACTAATACTAAGTGGTACTCATTAATTACCAAATGACACGCATGTTATTTAATACACCAGCATTATTCTCGTGGTTCTGTTATTAAGATTAATTAACTTTCCAGTGTTGATATTATCCCAAAGCGTCTACTCGGCCTTTTGGGTGATGAATTATTTTCTTTCCTACAGTTCATTTTTCACAAACGAAACATTACAAGCCTCTCTCTACTCAATCGCTATTTCCATGAAAAATGATCAGACGGGCTACATTCTTTAATTCCACCAACTCTAATCCCCAGAGGGGTGTGAATCGCGTTCATTGATGCGAATCACATTCATCACCTTCGTATTCCATTAGTAAGTTCTACTTGAACAGCTTCTTCTCACAAACCACTACTTTGCGGAACCGACTCCCAAGGGTATGCTTTCCCGATCACTACACTCTTAACCTGTTCAATTTTAGGATTAATCGTTATCATTACCCCCTATTCTCATAAACTGTGTCTCTGACCTCTTACTCTTAACATTCCGACCATAAATCCCATCAAACTCGAGTGGCTTTAATTTTACATTTGATGCAACGAGAGATGCACCCGAACAAGAGCCGATGGGAATTTTAAATTCAAAAATATTTTTTATTCTTTTATAAGCGTTTTTGATACATTTCCATGACCAGGTTCGATGTAGCCTATTTTGATCAAAATAGACCTGGCGGATCCCATCCCTCTGCAAGTTTTGTTTTATATTATGTTATATAACATTGTTGTATAAAATAGTTAATTATCTTGAATGAGAACAGTTTTGGAGGAGTGAAGAGATTTTCTATCATTTTAATTCCAACGAAGACCAATAGTTCTTACTTGTGTGAACCTGAATAAGGTCAATTATAATTTTACTAGGGGCTACCCGTTGACAAAATTATGGAATCAATGCAGCAATTTATCCATCGCACCCTGTATAATCTTGCCAATGTCATTTAGGTTCTTTTTCTTTTTGTTTATGCTTCCATCAATTTTGATATTAAATGTCTCACAATGGGGATAACAGAAGATCTTCCATCTACAGTAAATTTGCGTCCAGCTTAAAATATTTCACCATTCTTCACAGATCTTCTGTTCACACAATGCGGGATATTTAATAACAAAAGCAATGGAAGCATAAACAAAAAGAAAATGCATCTAAATGAAATCGGCCAGATTATATGCCCAAACACACATTGAAACAAATTTTTAAATTAAAAATAATCAATGCCTCGCTTTCGTTTGTGCGCATGTGTAGTAGCATCAGCGTAAAGATATACTTTGTCCGATGAAGTCATAAAAGACGAAACGCGTCACACGAATTTTTTTTTCCACTTTGTCATACTATTTCTTTCTCTCTCACACACACACACACACACACACACACACACACACACACACATATATATATATATATATATATATATATATATATATATATATATATATGTATTGTGTATTTAGGCAGCAATCCCTTTTTTATAGAAGCTTTGTTAAAGACGACTGTTTGTAAAGGTATTTTCTTTTCTGGAGACAAAGTGTGTAAAAACTGTGCCAAAGTTCTGCATATCCCAGCGCTTGTGGCTATTCTTTTAGCCATTATTTTATTTTTATATTTTGTTTTTAACTGAATATGTAGGTTTTTATTTACTTTTGAACTGTTTTTACACAATTTTTCACCAGAAAAGAAAACACTTGAACGAAAACATGAAAAATTAAACACAAAGTTTAATTGCAGTACCTTATCAGTTGTCTTTAATAAGGATAACGAATATATGAAGTTTTATCAAGCAAGGGAAACATTTTTTTTTTCTTGGGTTTTAATGCATTGCAGATTTTAAAAATTTTTTTTTATATGCCATGTCCTTTCAGGACGTAGATGATCATGTCTTTCCACTTCCTTCTCTTCCTTGTAGCTCTCAATAAGATTCGTCCCTTTGCCACCTCCCTCAGACTACGTTCTGCCATCTACTTGCTTAAGCCCGCCAGCTATGTCATACATTGCTTTCTCTTGTCTCTCTTTCTCCTTTATTCGACTTGTGAGTATCAGATTCTCTAAGCCCTCCTTTCTCATTACGTATCCCAGAAATTTCATTTGCCCCTTCCTGATGTTAAGTATAAGCTTCCTCCTTGTTTGTATCTTCTCCAAAAACTCATCGTTGCTCACACGTTCTGTTCATGATATACTTAGCACCCTTGAAGTAGCTGAACTGTAATCCCACAGAGTTACGTTACTTTACAGAACCGATCGAGTTTTAGTGACTGAATTTATGAGCCCATATAAATAGATTTAAAGATATTCGCTACCTGACTTCCGCTGAGGATGTTATTTGCCATGTTTTTCTAAAGGTCAAATTTCTTTTATGGATTGTAATGTCTTGCCAACACCTTCGTTCAATTCACTAGGGATTCTTTGTCCACTATTCAAAATTTTCCTGCTAAGAATTCCCGGAGCATGGACAATCTGAATTCTTGTGGTTGCCCTATTAATAAATGCATTTCAAATAAGCATGTACCAGGTTTCGATAGTATGCATCTGTGTCTTCGTCATAGTTAACTGGCGTAAAACGATGACTATCAATCTAGTCTCATACAATCATTATCAAAAGTATAGCCACGGATCGCGCAGAGATTACTTTTGTGGAAGACATCCAGCTGATTGATATGGAACCTATATGGATTCCACGATTCCGAGCAGTGTGGTCAAAACGGCTTCACTATATACCCGTATTTTGGTGTCCAATTTGATACTTCTCTCCTTCCATAGACGGTGGCAAAGCTTCCCAAATTCACTTGTAGCTTTCACGATCCGGCTAGTTATTTTGTCATCAAGTCAGACATCAAGTTCTTGTATTTATATATATAATGTAATGGATTCGACTGGAATTCGAACCGATTCCCTAATCCAAACCGTTATACGTTACCCCATCAAATATATATATATATATATATATATATATATATATATATATATATATATATATATGTGTGTATATATATATATATATATGTGTGTGTGTGTGTGTGTTTTAGAAGAAGGACAACTCTGAATTCAAAACTTGCGGAGGGTCGTTTGGGGATCTTGTGGCACGTAGTGCACCAGGTCTCTGTATTCGGCCCTTCAAAAAGTGTGGATGGTCCTGCACGAAACCTTCACCACTATAATCAAATCTCATGTGCTGTTGTCGGGCTGTCAGTTGCCTAGAAACTGATCTGTTTGATCCTCATACGTCGAATTCGACGGGTGAGT